TATTTTACATTTTAGCCTATTATAATAGGTTAAAAATAAATTTTTGGATAAGCTTTTCATACGATTATTATTAAATATTTTTAATAAACTTTTAAAATGATTTAATATTTTGAAACAAAAATTATATTTAGATTTTATATATATATATTGATTTTTTTAATATATATTACTCATATTTCAGTAATTTAAAAAGCCTACCCAAAAATGTTAAACGAAGGCCATAATCAGTGATGTGACAAAATAGAATGTTGTGTAAGATTGATTTCACTTTAATGCCATTCAATTTTATGTGCAAATCATAAAGCAATAGGTTTCATACTGGCATTTTGCAGTGTTTGTAGGTTTTAACAAGTTTCCAGAATTAATGGAAAATATCAGTTCAGTTTAAATCTAACATCCCTTAAACATTGTATTTATCTTAGTTTTTGGTTTGTGCTAATGGATGTCTGTTGGGGTGGTATGGACCTTTTGCATTGCTTTAAATACTATATAAAACTTAGCAAAATACAGCTTCGGTTGTGAAACCTAAATAAGCCACTTTCCATTATTGTGTTCATCACACAACAGGGACTTTATACAAGTTTTTTTATGGCATTGGTATGTATAACACGCTATCTGTTAAGCACATATAAAATGTTAATAGCTTGTTAAATTACTTATTCTTTCAGTTGGGTAAATAAAGTTACAATTGTACTTAATGTTAAAACTGACATGCTGCTGTGTATGCATAAAATGTGTGTGTGTATGTGTGTGTATATATATATATAACTTTTATCGTCATGCTTTATAATATTATATTATGTAATATAGATGTTGGCAATTAGAAATAATAATGTAGGTAATGAAAATTAATTTATTTTACTATATTTTATTATTGGAAAGTTGTAACTATAATTGCCTGAAAAGCAAGCCAGATTTCATTATTTAAAGCAAAACTGGATGTTAATTGTATTTTACATAATTCATGCAATATCACTTATTAGAATTAAATATAGATCCTCATTATATGAACATGTATATTTTATCATATGCTAATTTTTTTTTTTTTCTTATCCTGTAAAACAGATAAAAGTGGACGATCGTTCCATAAAGACAGAACATGGTCTTCTGCTTCGTGTCCTCAAGAAAAAAGATTCTGGAGTCTATTATTGCAATGCGGTAGAACATGGTTTTGTACAAACCTTGCTTAAAGTAACTCTGGAAATCATTGATACGGAACAACTAGATGAGCTTCTTCATAAAGATGATGATGGAGATAACCATAAGCACAAAGAACCATCAAATAGTATGTCGCCAACTCAGAAAATTTGGTATAGAGATTTTATGCAGTTAATTAACCACCCAAATCTCAACACAATGGATGAATTCTGTGAGCAAGTATGGAAGAGAGATCGCAAGCAACGTCGCCAAAAAAATACTAATGCCCAAGCCAATCCCAACAAATGGAAGCACCTACAGGAAAATAAGAAAGGCAGAAACAGGAGGACCCATGAATTTGAAAGGGCACCAAGAAGTGTCTGATTTGCATTACCTCTTCAAACCTCATCCGAGTAGGATTTGTATAGACATTTAACTGGAAAAATGCAATATTCATGAAGTTTTTCATGGCATTATTTGGATGTTTACAAAGTGGAAAGCTCACCCAATTTTCCGCCAAGTCTAAATAAAATACATTAGTAACTTTCCAAATAGACTTAGACTACATAGTCAACATTTAAGATTTTAAAGACAATGTGACTAAAGTTATTTTTCCCATTTTTGAAGCAATTGTCATTAGATTGTTGTTTTTCATACTTCCTTCCCTTCCCAAGAAGAAACTATTCATTTAAGACCCAGCCATTGAAATGAGAAAGGCCTTTTGTCAGTAATTCTAACCATCCGGAACTAGACACAATGTTGTATATGCTTTTTCTGATGACAACACCATAACTTTAGATTGGATCCATGATTTTTATTTTCTTTCTAACTTCCGTGTGTTTTTTTTTTCTTTTTTCATTTAAGTTTAGGACTGTTCATGGGAATATACAAAATGCAGTCCATTAACTGCACCAATAAATTGTTCACTATCCGATAAGCAAGTGGAGTTACTGATCTACTACTGATGTCTCCTTCCAGCATGATCTGAATTTTTATTTGGTTACCTCTAATTTAAATGTATCATAGTAAATTTGCAGTTAATGATAGTTTCTTTTTTTTTTTTTTACAACTATAGCATAGACATTGTTTTGAAGGTATTTTTCTTTGTAATTATTATGTTTAATTTTTCTTCTGTTTGAAAATTATTGCACCACGTAACACAGTGAATACACAGTGAAAATGTATAATTTGTTATTTATCTATGGGGATAACATGAAATAACATCTGTAATAAAGTATAACATTCCCTAACTGAAAAACATATTTAATTCTATTATGTTTATACATATTCTGAATAAAGTGAAAATGTTTTGGATCCATTGAGTAATGGGCAAACCATTTATATATCCCAATCTGAGGCACAAGAAACCTTTTACCACTTATACGGTGTTAACACACACGCACACACAATTTTTGAAATCTTTTTCTAAGACCCTAAATCTCATATTTCTAGACTCTGTTTTATTTATTAAGGGTTTATGGTATATGGTCAAAATGTCCTCAAATATAGCCAGAAAGTGATCTATAAATCTGCCCTAAAAGGTAACGGATTGATGAAAAAAGTGGGTGGAAAGTGTTAATTAAGCATTGACAATTTTCTGTACATCCACAATGCAAATATATGTTTCATTTTAAAATGAGACAATATGCAAAAGTTCTTAAATATGAGATGTACAATCTTGCAAAAGCGCCTATACACTGACATTTGCACAATGTATCTTAAACGTTGTACTAATTTTCCACAGCAAAAAATACTGAGCTCATATTTAGGTATTTAAATTTTTACTATTCACAAACTAAGGCAGGGGAAAAAAAATATTTTTTAGACTATTTCAAAAGCAAAATAAATAAATATATATCTTCAAATACCCCTTATGCCTCAATAATTATACTTATTTTTGTTTGAGTTTGCCTGCACTAATTTTATTGCATGTAGATTTATATTCAAGCTGTACAAAATGACTGAACAATTAATGAGGGTTCACTTTTCCCTCTTAATAAATAGAATCTGATTTGAAAATATAACATTTACTAAAGTGGGCTGTGCAGTTAGCAGAAACTTCTAGATTAAATATTTAAAATGTTTTCTATGATTTTGTCATATATCTTTTCGTCACTTTGATTTGTGTTACTTTTTTCTTACTCATATGTACGAGGTTCATGAATTTGTAGTAGTTTTTGTTCATGTTTTGCTTACTTTATCATTTTCTAATACCACTTATTAAGCTATTATTTTTAACATGGCTTAGACTGCTTGTTTTAGTAGGATGTTTGAAAGCTCTAATTAGTATTTCTGCTTTAATAAATCCCAAAATTGCACATCACACCTGTCAAATATGCTCCACAGATCAGCATCCCTAAGCCATGCATTTTGGAAAATGTGATCATACTAATAGGCCTGGTAATATCCCTGAAATCAATCCTACCTCTGTGTGCTAATGGGAAAAAAAACTTAGGAAATAATCTGTTTAAACTAAAGACAAAACAAAAAAATAATAAAATAAGTAAAGTATCATTTTTATATTGTCTTATATTTTTAGGAAAACTACTTATTCACTTTCAAGTACATTACATAAATTACTTAGTTCCCAGAATGCAAACACAAAGGGATTATTTAATTTAATGTAGGCCAAGTGAACACGAGGAATAGCCATAAATGTATACTTAGCTTCGATGTCCAGTGCTCAAATCCATAAAGTACCGCAGCCCTCAACAATTCAATATAGGAAACTGTAGACAAGCAGCACGAGACACCTTTCATATACTGCAAATTTCTTTCATGTACAGTCATACATGATTAATATTAACTAGGTAAAAATATTGTATGTTGTGGGATCCCTCCCCAAATTAAAGAAGTTTGCAGTATATGCAATATGTATTTTGTCACCTTTTCACAGTATACTTGTTCTTTAAAAATTATCACTTTTATTATACAACAAAAAAGGCCAATCTGATGTGATTTCTTTGCTTCTTAGCTCAGTTTGAGACAACCTGTTGATAACTGTGTTCTCAATATTAAAGTCCAAAACACTATACTGAAGGAAAAACACCACTATAGGCACCAGACCACTTCAGCTTAATGAAGTGGTCTGGGTGCCAGGTCCTTCTAGGGTTAACCCTTTTTTTTTATAAACATAGCAGTTTCAGAGAAACTGTTATGTTTGTTAGGGTTAATCCAGCCTCTAGTGGCTGTCTCTTGACAGCAGCTAGAGGCGCTTGCGTGCTTCTCACTGTGATTTTCACAGTGAGAAGAAGCCAGCGTCCATAGGAAAGCATTGTGAATGCTTTCCTATGGACTGGCTGAATGCGCGCGCAGCTCCTGCCGCGCATGCACCTTCAGCAGAAGAGGAGGAGAGGAGGAGGAGAGTTCCCCGCCCGGCGCTGGAGAAAGAGGTAAGTTTAGCCCCTTCCTTTCCATCCAGCCCGGCGGGAGGGGGACCCTGAGGGTGGGGGCACCCTCAGGGCACAATAGTGCCAGGAAAACAACTATGTTTTCCTGCCACTATAGTGGTTCTTTAAAGCCCTAAGACTATATTTATTGACTAAATAATTAAAGTCAATTCCTTATAGTTCTAATTAATGAGAGCTTTCTTTTCACTCTTAATAAATAAATCTGATTTGAAAATATAAAATTTACTAAACTGGATTGTGCAGTTAGCAGAAACTTCTAGATCAAATATTTAACATGCTTTCTATGATTTTGACAAAGATTTAAAAAAAACATAGTAATTGGTTGAATTTTTTTTTCCAGACAACTTGCATGGGACAACTTGCCGTTTCTATTAGAACCGTACTGTTTTATTATTTTTTTTTTTAAATAATATATATATATATATATATATATATATATATATTTATTATTATTATTAGCAGGAATACATAGAATGTAAAGCTCAAGTCTTTAGTTTTTTTCTTCTTTATCAATAATATATATGTAGTCCCACAATGTCATAAACATTAAGTATTCTTAATTTACGAATATTGCAGTTTACCTAAACCACATATCCTATATAAAAATAAGCTACGCCAATTATATCCATTCATATGAAATGTGATAAATGAGCTTGTCTTTTACATATTCAATGATAAGAGATTTCATGCTTGGCATATAGCTATGGATAATGTGTGCATTATGAAAAGGGACAATATCCATGTAATCGGCTCAAGTACTTTTCTCTTTTTGCACCTTGTGTAAATTTGGATATATTAATTGCTACTACATGTTCTCATCATAAGTACTTACTAAGGGTTAAACCCTTTTAATGCCCGGCCCCTCTGATTATCCGCTCCTTCATGAGTCTATGTAGTATATGAATGCTAACTGTTTGGTTTTTTTTTTGTTATGGAAGCTAAATGAATGCTGAAAATCTATCTATACTTTTATACTACTATTTACATTGATCATTTTTCTTTTGTGCCTTAGAATAATTTCTCCATTGTTTTACAATGAATGTACATGTATCTTATGGCATACTTATCCAAATTATTTTTTAGTTGCTTATGACATAAATTGATTTAGCATATAGGCTGCATAGAGTTAATGTAACTTTTAAAATAATATCCTTATTAGATTTTTTTTTTTTTTAAATGTTGATCTAAATCAAATAATGTTGTATATGAAATATGTGGAGGGTTGCAGAGGTTATCCAGGCAAAATAAATGATATTTTGGGTGCACTGAACTAGAGAAATGTTATTGGTTTCTTTGTGATTGCTGCTCATTTCACCCTGAGAAAGCATTATGCAGAGAAGCAATGAGTGGTGGTGGTAAACTATGTATCGGCTGCTCACTCTCCCTATTATAGTCGCCCATTGCTGACTTGAATTGGTATGACTAAGGGATAGTTACATACCTGTCTTAGACATATCTCCAGTGGGGACTGGGCTGTAGGAAATTATGGATCCTCATTCAGTGTTAAACCACTTACAATGGTTTCAAAATGAATGGATGGATAGCGTCAGGGGACTCTAGGAACTACTCTAGGAGGAACTACTTCAGAAAAAATTGTTATAGTGTCTAGAGTGTCCCTTTACAGAGAGTGCTAATTGCTTTATTTTAGAAATACAGTTTATTTGTTTTGTTCTGTTAAACTATAGATAGATATGTAAAGGGGGATAATATAGATCAACTTTGCTTTTCATCAAAATCCATGCTGAAGCGGCTTAGTATGACATAATAACAATAAACATGTCTTGCAACCTTTTTGCTAGTAGCTTAGCAATATGTAGCTGCAACAGTCAATTTTTTTCCCAAGACTGATACAGTATAAAATATACTTCCATCACATGCCCTTGGCATATTTTAAATAAAAATACTATGGTTATATGTTTGTAAAGAGTATTTAGCAATGTTGGTTCTCGTTTATTCTATTATCCTGCAATTATTCTGCACCAAAAAATTATTTAATCATTTCTATATTTTAATATCTCTATGGATCCAAAACATATACTTGTTTCAGAATATTTTTATCTATATTTCTATTTTCTTACCACAACGCTTCTATCCAATGGTTCCGTAGCACAATGTTGTTTTGCAATGATAGTAGCATTTCTACGCTGGCACAAAAATCCTTAATAACCCACTCGACCGATGGTATGTAGCACAGTTGTCTATAAAGTGCAATAGTTGTTCGAAAACTAAATTGCTGTATATGAACTAAGCAGTCTAATATAGAAAGCACACACCTCTCAAAATGTATGAATCCTTTTAGGCAATACAGTCTTCCACCATCTTCATCATGAACCATTAATTATTAGAAATTTGTATCTTGACCACCATTGACTAAACATTTGGCAGAGATTGTGCAAAATCTAGCCTAGCAGTAATTGTACAGTTCATGGCCTACTTGGAGCAACTACTGTATGGGGAAAAAAAAAGACATGAGAGAAATGCTTTGCATGTGAATGAACAGTTTATGATCCAGTTTTATGCAGTATTTAGTGATATCAATGGTATGTGTTTAATAGTTTGGTTTTGCTACCTAAACATTAGCCAAATGAGATGTAAATATTTTTAAATAGTAAGGAGGTATAATGTAATGTACTGATAATTATAGGTACTCTATTTCAATGTGCTCAAGTACAGTATATTTTTCCCTTAAGAAGCCCAAATGTCAACCGTAAACTGTGGCATAGCAGTGATGATGTTGCTGTTTTTGTGCACACGCTGTATTTCTATCTACAAGCCGAAGAATGAAAGTATGCTTAATAACTATATTTATCAATACATTTTATGGGAGAATTACAAACTGGAGAGGAAATGTAATAAGACTTGCTGCTGTAAATTATTCTTTTTGGCATGTACTCTGTTGTTAAATAAACATTTCTTGAAAAGAGATGAAAGTTGCAGTTTTCATAACTAAGAAAACCTTGTCATCTCCATTGGTTCCAAAAATGTTGTGGTACTAGATTTGTGTAGCACACGTCCCATCCATGGACCCATAATAAAAATGTCTTTTTGGATAAATAAGGTATCTCCTATAGGTCTGCTTAACAAAGGGGTGAAGCTATCAAAATATTCCTTCATGTGCTAGCAATGTAAGTAGAAACTTGGGTCTTACTGTGTGTGAGAAGATACTGGCATGATGCAAAATGACGTGCCATATGACCTGGGTAATGGAAATATCCATAGAAGGATACATTTATTATCAAAGTTGCTCAAATAGTTTTTGACTCCATTTTAGTTTTCTTCCTTAATCTTTATACAAGACTTTCAAAGCAAATAAGAAATATACACCTAAAAGGTTAATATGAACAATAAAAGAAAAAAAATATATAGAGAGAGGAATTGCAAGGTTGCACTTTCTTGAAAACCTGAGAAAAGCATAGAATAATTTGTTGGCTTTATTTATGTAATGAAGCAAAGCTGCCAGGATGATCACAGTCAAAACCTTAGGTTGGGAAATGGTATGGTACTGCACAATCTGCTCTCGACCCGTATGAGGTCTGTAGGAGAGACTATAAAGTATCGGGAAATAGATGTTCAGGAAAGGTCTTAAAGAGAATATCTGGGTGAGAATGGACAGAAAAAAAGGGCAAGAGAGTGAAAGGCACACAAGGCCACATGGATTTGAATTAAAAACAGAGACCACTTGGTCAGGAGACTCATATGGGACAAGACCATTTGTCAGGAGAAATAGGTCTGTTGGGTCATAATGTGCAATAACATAAGCCAGAGGGCAGTATATTTAGTTATCATATAAGACAGCTGACAGCAGTTTGTTGAACTGCTTTGTGCTGAAGTCTGTCATTTTCTTTTTTTTTTTATAAAACTGATGATTTGAAAGGTCTTTTTTGTCATATACCCTCCCAAAAAAATCCACACAGAAAAATTAATACATTTTCTTTTGGAGTATATCAACTAAAAAGTAAAATAAAATACAAAATTCACTAATAAGCTCCTTTAAAATTCCTGAAAGACCACACACATTACAGTACAGTGCATCAATCACACACACAGGACTCAATATAGTATATACATGTTCAGAATAAAAATGTTTTTTTAGTACAGGGGTCTGATTGTCATCTCTGAAAGTTGAGTAATATTCAACTGTTTCCAGTGTTTTAAATTAAATTGAAATGTCAAGTTAAAAAAAATAAAATAGAACAATGCAATAATGATACTTTCAATGAAACAGATAGCCAGGGAATCATCAGAGTTGTAGTTCAGCAACATCTGGGGGGCCGCAGGTTGGACAGCCCTGTTCTAGAGGGAATGATGAGGCAACACCTGTCTTAAAATAACTCTGGAATGTAACTCGTAGAGCACTTAGCCAGGTGTTGTATCATACATGTTGCATGCAAGCACCTACACCCTCAGAAATTAACTTTTCCATCTCCTCTAACTTCATTACTTCTAACATAGTTCTTAACAGAACTACAAGCACAATACCTTCTTCTCAGACTATCCTAATGTCTAAACTAATCATTGTTAAATTCCCATGTTATCCTCTAAAATTTCTTCTGGAAAGTTATTGTATACAGCCGCCAGCTTGTGGAAGCAATAGTTTCTCCTGGAACAATGCACTTTCTTTGTGGTAGCATGAAAGGGCTTGTCTAAAGACAAATTGATTTCTTCTAGTTAAAGGTCAAGATGAAACATGTATATAGAAGGAAATATTGAAATAATGGTTACATTTCTTCTTTCCACAGTAGTGTGTAACAATGGTTTCGCTCATTCCCTGAGTGTCTTCCAATTTATTTAACTTTCACAGAACATTAAGACAGGATATGTGGATAATTAATGTGTTTTAAAGGCACACTAACATATAAATAAAAGGTTTATAGTCACCAGAACAACAACAGCTAATTGAATTTGTTCTGGTGAGTAGAATCATTTCCTTTAGGCTTTTTGCTTTTCAGAGAAAATGCAGTGTTTACATTACAGCCTAGTGATAACTCCACTGACCACTCTTCAGATAGCTGTTAGAGATTCTTCCTGGGTCATGGCTGCCTAAAACGCATCCAAACATTCAGTGTCTCCACCCTCTGCATGCAGACACTGAACTTTCCTCATAGAGATGCATTGATTCAATTCATCTCTATGAGCAGATGCTGATTGGCCAGGGCTGTGTTTGAATTGTGCTGGCTCTGCCCCTGATCTGCCTCCTTGTCAGTCTCAGCCAATCCTATGGGGAAGCACTGTGATTGGATCAGGCCACCACTTCTGATGATGTCAGAGGTCAGAGAAGTTTGCAGGCAGAGGCAGCAGCTTCAGACTTGAATACAAACAGGCCCGGACTGGCCATCGGGCACACCGGGCAAATGCCTGGTGGGCCGCGATGTCCATGGGCCGAGGCTGGCAGGGGAGGTCCCAGGATCTCCCCTGCCGGTCTATGCAGGGCCGGCACTATCCGAGCACCAGCCCTGCTGTTTTTCATGAAGGGCCGGTGGGGAGATCAAAGATCTCCCTCACCGGCCCACATGCTGTATAATGCGGCCACCGGCGGGGAGAGAGGGAGGGAGACAGCCAGGAGAGAGGACCGGATCTCGCGAGAGTAAGCTCTAGCCCCACAGGCTATGCGGGCTAGAGTTCACTCACCACGAGGACCACCAGGGAACACTGCCACCCCGCCTCCCAGTCACCAGTGTGCCGGTCCCCCCCCTCCCAGGCTAAAGGTAAGAAGGGGGGGGGGGACATAATGCCTGCTTAGTTTATTTGTTTATTTACCCCCCTACACACACACAATCCGTTCTAGCATTTATACAGCACTCTCTCACACCCAGCACACAGAGCAGTCTCTCACACCATCACACACAGCACTCTCTCACACAGCACTCTCTCACCCATCACACACAGCACTCTCTCACACAGCACTCGCACACCCATCACACACAGCCCTCTCTCACACCCATCACACACAGCACTCTCTCACAGCACTCTCTCACACAGCACTCTCTCACACACAGCACTCTCTCACACAGCACTCTCTCATCCATCACACACAGCACTCTCTCACACATAACTCTCTCACCCATCACACACAGCACACTCTCTCACCCATCTCACACAGCACTCTCTCACCCATCTCACACAGCACTCTCTCATCCATCACACACAGCACTCTCTCACACAGCACTCTCTCACTCATCACATACAGCACTTTCTCACACAGCACTCTCTCACACCCATCACACCCAGCACTCTCTCACCCAGCACACACAGCACTCTCTCACACCCAGCACACAGCACTCTCTCACACACAGCACTCTCTCACACACAGCACTCTCTCACACCCATCACACACAGCACTCTCTCACACAGCACTCTCTCACACACAGCACACACATCACACACTGCACCATCACACACACATACTGCACCCCTCACATACATACAGAACCCCCCCAACACACTGCACCACACACATACACAATACTTCCAAATATATATATACATACACATATAGACACACACTAGATTCCTTGTAAGCAAACACACACTACATTACCTATACACACACACACACACACACACACACTATAGCCTGTATGCACACACTTGCTATATCCCCTATACACACATTCTCTACAGCCCCTAGCCACATATGCATCACATTACACCACAAACACAACATGACTAACCTTATTACACAATACCACATCACAATCAGCTCACTCTACACACACGCAATACACACACGCAATACCACAAGCAGGCTCCAAACACATGCACAATACTCTTTCCTGGCATTTTTGTTTCCTGTTATCCATTTATAGAGACAACAGAGACAAGTTGCAAGGAAACACAGTGCAAGCATGTTATTAAATTTGCTTGCATTGTGCAGAACAAATACAGGGCTTTTTTCTCATGCTGGAGCTCTTCAGCAGAGCTCTGCGCATGGTCTGCCCTGGAAGAGCATTGAACCAACATGCTCACTTTGAGAGGGGGCGTGTTTGTCATTGGTGATGACAAAACACACCTCCTCTGCCCCGCCCCCTTCTTAGTGGGCCGCTGTGGTGAAAAAATGCCCGGGCCGAATTTTTTTCCCAGTCCGGCCCTGAATACAAGTAAGATTTTACTATCTTTAGGGAGGCAAAGGGGGCCAAAGGGGCTAGATAGTGGTTTTAACACTACAGGGTCAGGAATACATGTTTGTGATCCTGACCCTATAGAGCTCCTTTGAGGTGAGATGTTAACCCATTTGTTTATGCTGCCATGGTCAGGACAAATATGCTTAATATCAATAAATAGTTTTTATTTGTGGCTAGCAGGGGCAACATATATAAATTGTTAGCTATAAAATATGTGGGGGCATATGAAAATGAATACTCCACAATTCTGCATAATCATATTGGATGGAAAGAAAAGCTGATTGGATGGGCTTATATCCAAACTGGACATTAGCAACAGGCCATACAGCCACAGCTACAACCATTTAGTGTGCAAAATTGGTATGGCACCAAATCTAAGATATCTGTTGTATTGATATTCACTTAGTACCTATGCTGTTCAAGTACAATTTAGGAAGTGTTAAATAGTAAACGATAAGAACTACACCACCATTTGGTATTCACTAAATGGCTAAAAAAAAAAACACTTTTACTTGTGTTAATGGTGCACTTAATGAGACCAGACACAAGGTCTCAATGTTGGCCTATGGGGTGCTCTCTTTGTATACTTCCTATTATCAGTTAAAATGTTTTCTTACTTCATCACAAAAAAGGTAAAATAATATAATGGATAATTTTTATCCTTGAAATAAAGCATGCATATTGAATATCTTTACACCATAGGGTTATTAATAAACAATTTCTTTTGGCTGTGTAGAATTGGTGGTGATAATGAAATTGTTTGATTAACTTTTTTTTTATATTTGATAATATGTTTGAGAAAGCTACCTTACATTCCTTCAGCTTTGTTTTGGTTGCACCCATTAGCTCTCTTGTTCTTTT